CTCCCTCTTCCCCAATTAGGGAGGGGGGAGAGGCGGAGCGACACTGGGTGGTGCTGGTTCGAGGCCCAGGAGGAACTGAAAAGTGGAATAGGAGCCACTCAAAGTGGGGGTGACCAGGGAACGCTTCGTGGGGCGGCTTGGTGGGTAAGAGGAACATCCCAAAGCTGACACTGCAAACATTTTCTAGCATGGTCCACTCAACTTTACCCATTGGGCTGCTCAGCCCTTGCCTGCAGCAGAATAGCTCGGTGGTTTAGGTCTCAGAGGTTAGGAGTTAGGATATCCCACTTTGCCTCCTTGACAGGCGCTGGGCTCGACGATCCATAGGGTCCCTTCCAGTTCTGAAAATCTAAGATTATAGAGTGTGGACCCAATGATTCAACGTGGATGTTAAAGGATTTTTTCTGAAAATCTAAGATTATAGAGTGTGGACCTAACGATTCAACGTGGGGGTTACAGGGTTTTTAAAAAAATCCTATAATTTATATTTTTTCTCGTTTATTTTATTTTCGGTTTTTGATGATTTGTACTTCTACAGCTAGGCTGTTAATAATATGAGCACGTGATTGACGTGGTGGGTCTGTGGTATAATTCAACCCAGTTACAAATTAAAATTTGCCTCTAAATTGAGATTTAAATTCTAGCTGCAAATGTTGTGAAGTTCATACTTTAAGGGAGGGAGGTGGCATTTCCCCAGTTTTGCTGATGAGCCAAAGCTGTCTTTGTGCAAGAAATAATGTGCTCTTACATGTTAGCTGTTTTTGTCCTTGGACAGAACCATTAACAATGCATACTTGTGTGTCTACTTTTCATCTCTGTCTACTGTTCAGCTATAGGAATTAAATTTACATATAACTGATCCTTGGTAATGGGAGACTGGCATTCCCAGACAGAAACTTTCTCTGTGCTTAATAAGAATACTGGAAGCTGCCTTACATGAAGTTATATCATTGGTCTAGCTGGCCTTGTACTGCTAAGCCTCCAGGATTGTAGACATTCAACGATTCAACGTGGGTGTTAAAGGATTTTTA